GTCGCCCAGAAGTGAGAGAAATTCGTAAGTAGCGGTAACTCAGTTTAATTGAAAGCCAACCCGTCTTGTTTAAAATTGACGCACACGCTAATGGTAAATGCGACAAGAAATGAAAACAAACAGCGAATGGTTTAACATCTTGAGTGCGAATGGGAATAGAACTTGATAATTGTTAAGTGACGCAACAAAACAGTTTGATGCGTCCCAATGAAAAAGTTAATAGACAAGTTGCTGAATTTGGTCCGGGAAATTGTATCAATTTTAGTTGCTCAAAAAGACGTGTTTCTTTTTGGTGGCCCCTGTTATCTCAAAATCAGGCTTTCACATTTCTGCTACATGTTATGGGATTGTTAGCGGTACCTTTCGATTAAGTTTTGTTAGTTTGTGTAGTAAGATCTTGTAAAACCGTCGTTTGTTTCTCTCTGCTAACAACAAGAAATTTAAGCTGTCAGGGAAAACCACACTCCCCGGTGTGAATGGCTTGTTTAAATGCAATCTTAGATTAGTTTGTGCAAGGTTTATGTACATTTTCACAAAGAAATATTGTGGGTTTGTAATTTCTATACTTCTCGGGAAAACTTCACACCTTATTAAACGTAATGGTTGGTTCATACAATCATGATCATTAGTTCACTATCATTAGATTAATAAAATCCCAATAGAAACAAGGGATATTGTGCGTTACTATAACCAACGAAACCATAGGTTTGTTTCTAGTGGATATTTCTTAATGATCTAATGATATTGAACAAATGAACCATAATGTTCGGTTAAACGGTGTTAGTTAATGTCTATCAGTTTTAATACAATCGTGATTTATCTCGTCGACAATTTAATAGTATTAGTGCATCAGAATCGTTGTTTAAAACACCCTTGACCGTGCGAACACAGACGGTTAAAGCACCATGAGCTTTTGCTACGAAGCCCTACTTCAAATCTGACGAATACAACTATCATCTGGTACTGAAATATAAAATCCCGTCTTTCTTCTTTACGTGTCCTTCGTGATACTGTCACTGCTCTCTCGTCTCTTAATACCTTCCCTTTCGAGCCTCCTTCACACCTTACTTCTACTTTCTTCCTTCTACAAACTATTTGACGGTTCTATGGTACTCCCAGATAACAATTTATTGACTTCAGAATCGATCTATTTTCGAATATGGGGAGAAGCTGGATAACACCTTTATTGTATAGGATTTGAATCTGTAGTGATTTCATGCGCTACCAAATTTGTGGTACCACATCCCTCTCCCATGAGCTTAAACTTTCGCGAAACTAATGAATTAAGTCTAGTAAGTTGATTCTCTGCGAGGTCAGTAAAGGTATTCAAAACTCTAAAGCACTCGGTTGGTGGACCAAAGTTCAAAACATCACGAGTTAAATTTGCAATTATACCCATGGTTTTCTGAAAATTTAATCCAAGGACTATAGAATGATGTAATTCTGGTACAATTAAAAATTTGATAAATTTAATTCGGTCTAATAATTGAACTGGTGTATGATCTAACGTGGTGGAAATTTCTCCTTTTAAGGCTTCACAAAAAATATTTAGAACCTCTAAAAAACAGTTCGTGTGGTTGCTAAAAATCTTGTTTGCCGCTATCCATGAACACAGGGATTAACCGTTAGAAAAAAACTACGTCTAGAATTCAGCGATTCACGGAATAATCTATCGAAGAGGTTTGCCGAAGGGAAGTTCCAATTTACAACTACGTTGCTTAATTTTCCCGGATGAGTTGCCGTTGTATGGAGAGCCGTTTTCAGACTATTCTTGTTTGTATGAACATCATCATCTTCAGAAGGACATTTTTTATGAGGTACCGTTATGTTATTAGGAAAAATTAAGAGTTGTATATTTTCAAGTAAAATCTTCTAACTTGTAATTGATTGAAGTTTAAAAATAATTAAGGAAAATGTTTATTGCATGTTCTTAAAGACAGCCATCTCTACACAAATTAAAGCCGTTTGTATTGCATGTATTTTATCGTTGGTGAAGTTATTGATATTGGAATTGTCAGAAAAAAAAGTTTTCGGTAGGTAACTACTGATTCTTTAGTAATAGATTTCGCACAAGCCCGCGGCTTTCCATATTTGCAGAGTCGGGAATACCTCCTCTGTTTACACGAAGGGAGATACTCATCGAATTATATTGCTAAACTTAAAGCTACAAATGATAACCTGAACAGCGATGTTGTCGAAAACCATCCATTACTAGAGGAATATAAAAACAGGGCTACGATCAGCAGACCAACCATAATAAGAGCTATTGAGTTAATAAAGGAGCTGGACGAAGAAAATGTGATTCTTTTCAAATACACTACACCGTCATTCCCACCTTGGATATCATTTAAAGAAAACGTCCTATTAGACCTAACCAAATTAAAAAAAGGTTAAACATCTAAGTCTCTTTACCGAATGTTCTTTAGGGAAATGTTGTCTCATTACAAAAACTATTTTATTATCTATACAGATGGATCAAAAATGAATGATGGTGTTGGTAGTGGTCTATATTTCAACAATAAGTCCTTTACATGGCGTCATAGTATTATTTCAAGGGTATATTCGGCTGAGTTGTATGCGGTGTGGCAAGCGCTCCTAATGTGCGAATATATTACTAAAACGGAAGTTGTCATATGCACAGATTCACTTAGTACTATTAATGCCGTTATAAGGAGACACATACCGCTAGACCCACTAGCTACCTCAATAAAAGAGCGTTTATACTACCTTCAATTAATTTTAAAATCTTTCTCATGTGGGTACCAGCACATGTCGGCATATATGGAAATGTTAAAGCAGATGAAGCGGCGAAAATTTCTTCAAACTATGGGAGCATTGATGAAGTTACTACTCAATGTACGGACTGGAAAGCTTATATAAAAAAAAGGATTATGGGTAAATGGGAAACAATCTCGGCCGAATCTGAAACATTCTTAAGTAATTTCAAAAGAAATGTACGGCCATGGAAAAATGATTATAACCTATCAAAAAGGGAAGAAGTAGTGTACACAAGAATGCGAATAGGGCACACTCGTTTGACACACTTACACCTCCTAGGTAGATGTGGGCATAATATCTGTAGAATATATGCGGGGTACCTTACACATTGCAACATCTCTTAATAGATTGTCCTGTATTCACAAATGAAAGAGAGAATTCGAACCTGGATAAAGAACTGAGTAAGATTTTCAGTAATGATCGTAGAAGTATTGCACGTTTAATACAGTTTTTAAAAGTTACTAACATGTTTAGAGAAATTTAACCAGTTACCGTTTTCAAGTAAAATGGCGCAAGACCTCAGCAGTCGTAGCCATAAACCTAAAAAAAAAGAATTTTTTGAATTCGTGTTTTATTAAACTGGTAAACGAGCTATACTACCTATATACTATACTATATCAAATTACCAACTAACAATAATCCGTTGGCATTTTCCTTCCCAATAAAATTTAGAATCGGAAAAATTAAAAAAGGTTGGGGTGAGAATCCACCCACCGCGATGTCAGGAGTATTGAAAATCGCCCGGGGCCAAGAAGGTTAAAGTTGATTTAATTTTAATAAGCAATGAATCAGTTCAATCTAATGAATTTAAGGGATGTTTTAAATAATTTTGCTATAACCTGTTATGATAGGGTCCTCTATAGAGGGGTTAGGCAACCCATCATGCTTTTACAAACTTTCGACCCTCATAACGTCATTAGGGTTGAAGTCTACAAATTTCTAGAACCTGGATATTAATGTACACGGTGCGGCGAAAATTTTGCCGGATCGTTTTTTACGTTTTTTATGTAATTAACGGATCTAGCGAACCAATGAAGTTATCAAAAAAATCTTTCCGACAATAAGTTCGAATTAAGCGTTAGAATTGCTACATATTGAACAATTCTTTTCAACTTTTTTATTAATTGCGTTATGAGGAGTAAAAGTTTGATGAAATCTGCATAAAAATCCGAAATGACACATTGCCTTCAGGCTAAAAGTTGAAATGTGTAAGAGGGATTAGGGAATTCCCAAAGTATTACAAGAGGTAAATGGAATGCTAATTAGTTGCACCTACTCACTTACCTGAAAATTGTATTGTATTGCAGAAAAATAATGGTATCATTAGACACATTGTATTATTTAATCACTAATAAGCAGCTAAATTAAAACACCTAGTAATTATTACCTTCAATTAAAATTGTATATGTTTTATTAAAATGACAACAATGACAATAAAAAAAGCTATTAGATTTTGCTATAAATATCTCGCAATTGAAGTTGGCGGCATCTCCTAGGATCGATAATTTCTGGCAGTAACGAATTAAAATAAAAGTCAGCCAATTTTTCTTTCATCTTCGTTTCCCAAAAATCGTCATCGCTACAAAATAATTTTATTGTTTTTGTTTGAAAATTAGAACTTAGCTTACCGTTCAATGGTTTCCACATGTAATCCTCCTAATGTATATATTATAAAATAACAGAGTTGTTTTTTACAAATATGCAATGCGCCTTGTATTTGGTAATAGTAATTATGACTTCGTTTGAGTGTAAGTTTGCCATTTTCAATTACACAAAAATCAATTTTTTTTTGTTTTGCGCCTTCCAATGGAGATAAGGGCCCACTTTTTGGTGAACATTTGATTTCTATTATACAATTGTTACCCACTAATCCATCCGGGGAGCAAGCCAAATATGGTAATTCATCATCAATTACCAAACCACTTTGCGTTACACTGACGTTATGAGCATTTTGAAATAATTTAATTGCCGTTTCTTCATTTTCTAAACCAAATGTTGTACTACTGTTACCGGCAAATGTAGTGTAAAGCAACTGTGAAACTAGCTTAGCGGTGGAAGTTGTTTTGCGTAGTTTACAAACTCTGCCAAAATTTGAAGCGGTAATTCGTTTTTTGCGCTCTTGATACCAAAGGTTGGACTTTGATTGCGATGCCGTTTCCATACAAATCTTTTTCTTGTCCGCACATCGTAAAACTTCTAGGAACTCTTGACGTTTTTTTTTATACAATTCTGAGCCCATGTCCTCCTCTGGTTGGTTTGCGCTAGGCCCATAATGACTGTCTGCTGTAGCAAAATGTTTTCTTTTCGGTGCTTTTTCTAGAAAAATATTACTCCTAATTAAAAAGAAATTAATGAAATAATACCAACTTACTTCTATTTACATGTAACATTCGCATCTTCCGCTCGTGAAATATACGGGTATAATGATCAATAGTACCACACATTCTTTCTTGAACTTTTGCAAGAAAACCACCACCAGTGTTGTATGAAATCGAAGCCGCCTCACATCTAGTCTGGTAAGAGTTTTTTAAGGAATAATTGATCCGTTTCCCACCGACAAATTTGGCAACGACGGAATTGTAGCTTTCGGCTGCATTTGTGTCTACATCTTGTAACAAACTAGCAGCATTATTTGCTAGTCTACGATTTGCAGTGACAATTGGTTCAAAAATACCAGACAATTTTAATGTAGGTACTAAATTTTCCTAAACAGATACAAATAACGTAAAATTATTCTGTGCAACAATGCGTCAATATCATTACCTGATCTTTATTTCCAGAACAGAAGTAACCGTCGCAATTAGAGTGGTACCCAAATATATGATTTGGCCCATTTTCAATATCTTTTTTTAAAAGAGCGACTTTTGTATTTTCAGCATCAGGACCCTGTTTTCTAAAGGCAATAGCTTTCGTTATCGCGTTTCGGAAGCGACCCAAAACATCTGTATTAGTTACTATTCTCCTGAGATGAATGGGGAATTTGGTATCTTTGGACAATTCTGAAATTTTATTTATGTAATTCCTAATGAGGTCATTTCGGCATTCAATTTTCTCTACAACAAAAGTTGGTCCATATGGGGATACCTCAACAACTTTTTTATATACAGTGCTGTCCCCATCCCCAATAATTTTGCCATAGATCAAATTATGACTTTTAATAGATGATTGAAACCCTTCGGCGATTATTTCAGCTTCCATTGCCGTGGAACTTCTATCCCAATTTTTGAAACAAGAATGTTCTACTGGAGTACTTGCCCTAGTACAGACGAAACAGTATTTATTTTTAACCCCCATGTAAAGAATTTTCTTAGTTTTCGCTCCAATTATACAGGCCTAGAAAGAAGCAAATATAATGTTTTCAGTAACATAGAAAAAAGTACTTACAACTCCAGATAAAGCATTGTAGTTTGTACGATAGGAACATTTACTCCATGCGCCATCAACAATCACTGGAATTATAGGAACACCTTGTTCAGATACGTGGCCAGATTCAACAGGCAACCTTCTTTCCTCTTGGGCAGCGGTATTCATTAGTTTAATGTTTTCGTCGTGTATATTTTTACTCAAATTAGAGTGATAGCGTAAATATGTTGCATTGGACATATTTGGAATGTTTAAACATGATACAAACTCGTTTATTTGAAAATATCCAACCCCAATTGATATTGCTCCAGCGACAACGGCACAATTTGTTGGAAAATCCTTCTTATTCGGATTTTCTGTATTAACAATTTGGACAATATTACAAACGTTGCATTTAAATGATATTTTAGTTTGAAATCCTTCAATTTTTTCGGATAAAACCTCCATATCAAAAAAAATAACAGTCAAACCCTAAAACAGAAATACATATTAGCATTATATCTCTATTAATTTTAGTTTTAAATGTACTTACTTTTGTGTTTCAAAGATCTTAATTCGTCCAGAAAATATTTTATTTCAATTATGCGCCGCCCTACTAAGCAATTACTTTTTTTTGGTTTGATAACATCCAGATCTGTCTCAATGGAGATATCAGTGCCGTCACTAGAATCGCCGCTAATGGTAGTAATTACTTCCTCGTCATCTTTGTTGAAATTGTGAAATGGATCAGTTGCATTGACAAAGTTGCTATCTATATTGTCATAACTACAGGACGCTATTGGTTCAGGTTCAAGTTCAAGGACTAGTTCGTCCAACTCCGTATCAGAATCGCTATTATAACAACTAGTACTAACAACTGCTTCTTCTTCACCTTTTCTTAAATAATCAGGTGGCCCAGTTTTATCAGAAGAATTGTTATCAACATCATTTGAACTGCAAAGAGGCACTGTTGTGGGGACTACTTGGTCCATTTTGGGCATTATAGAATTCCATCTCCTACAGACAAAAATATATTGAATACGCATACTCATAAAGTCCATGCCCAAAAAATATGTAACACATGAATAGTAAATCAACCCCCTTACCCTATAATGAACAATTTTGGCTACTTTTTTATTACGTTTATTAATTATATATAGTAAGTGTAATTACTTACCTTTGCGACAATTTCTTCATTGCGGATTTTCGACTTTTTAAACTTCGTGACAAACTCCCCATACACTTCGGTATATTAAAAAATTTTAAAACAAACAAATTAGCGCACTAAATAATGAGTGTAAGTCACTGATGAAAGTGGTTTTAAATATGAAATTAGCAGAGAAAAATAGTAATGCATCAATATAAATAATTACCGTTGGATTAAATTTCCATTAAAGGGTTAGGTAGGTATACCATAATTTCTTTAAATGGGCGGATGAAAACTCGTTACCTAATTGTTTTTAATTTCTTCATTACTAGTAACCTTCAGGTGGTAAATCCGGTATTGCCCCTTTACAATTTTGTGAGTGTCATTAGAAAATTCCAAATTATTTGCTGTTGAAGATAAAGAGAAGGTTTAGAAATGTACAGCAATTATAATTAAATTAATTTATGTAATGTAATTTGGAATCCCTCAAAGACATGTGACCTTGCCTTTGGCAGTTTAACTATTCAGGTAAAACAACTTTTACTTAGCTACACTAGTGGGCGCTCCGATCGTTTCAAATTTCGTCGGGATGTATAGAGGACCCTTAAAGCCCGGTTGTAGAACGTCAGTTTCAACTTCCGTTTATTTTATGTGACCGATTACAGAAAAACGATTGGTCAACTTGTGAAAGATTAGCCAAGTTACAGGTCCATTTTTAGTTTAGGTTTGCTTTATTTATTTTATTTTTAGGTTAGGAAATTCTTTATTTTGTTTTGAATTTCGTCTCATAGGCGTGCCCAGTTTCTTAAATCTCTTCTTGTGATTTCTTCACTCCTTTTCGATTACTCTTATAATTTTATCTTCCTTCTCACAATCTAAACGCTTCTTCTTTCCTTACTGTTTCACTCTTCTAATTTTCGAAGCTTATGTGTATACTTTTTGATTCAATGTTACGCCTCTGATTCGCTTTCAGTGCCTTCTATTGTCAGTTCTTGTAAACTACGCTATTCTTTCCCGCTCTTTTCAAAAATCTATTCTTCTTTTCCCGCTAACTTTTTATGTTCCTTATATTATTGGTATGACGGTTAGTTTTTTTCAAAATCTTCTACGTTTTCGTTTCCGTTTTGATCATTTGTCAACTCTGTCGTGTGCTTGTGAGGTGCAGAATTTTTGCAGCCGCTATAATCCAATAATTTTGGGATTTCTACCCTCGGGAAATAAACTCTACTTATTCCAAGGAATTAGTATTTGGTCCTTATAAACCCTATTTTGGGGATTAAGAGTAGAGGAGAGGCACATTTGTATTTGTGATTTGCCATCTACTTACAACCAATATATATTTTACCCTTACTCACCGGATTTCAACCCTTGTGTAAGTATTTTTGTTGTTTGTATCGTTTTCTATTTCTTCGTTGTCTTTTAGGATCCGAGCTTTATGTCACCTTCCACCAATTTAATTAAGCATTCCAAATATATATTGGCCCGTATGAATAAAAGTAAGCAAATGCTTATACTTGCAAAATTCAAAGTAAATACTCGTAACTGTCCCTTCATACTGGTCTCTTTAGCATATGGTTTAGCAGCGCTGCACTGCGTCCTGTCCTTCTGCTTATAAGCGCTGCTAAGTCGCCCAGTGCGAAGGAGCACTTACGAGTATTTACTTTGAATTTTGCAAGTATAAGCATTTGCTTATTTTTATTCATACGGGCCATTGTTTCTACGTTTAAGGCCCACACCATCCTGTAAGTAGTCTTTTCGTGCTAGTGTTGCGTGATATTTTGGGTCTTTGTTTTAGGGCCTTGTATTTTTTAGTTTATTTTTTTATCTATACGTGTTTATACGTACCTACTACTAAGAAATCTTCGTCTTCATCCGTCGTATCTTCAGCCTTGAGTCGTCCGTCTTCAGTCTTCACTCGTTCGTCGTCAGTCTTCAATCTTCTTCCGATACCTTCAAATTTCTTTTCCATTTGTTCCCTTCTACGCTCAGCCTGGTCTACAACCGCCGAGTTCGCCGAACAACCGCTGGAAAATTCTAAGGAGCCAGAACAGCTAAGCAATCTCCAAGTTACCCTATTTTATTACCTAAAAAACCGTTAAGTTTACTTTTAAAAAAACCATTACATTAATTCAGCCACCCTACATCATATTAAGTAATTACTCAAGTTTTATTGGGTCTTACTGTGAGACGAGATCTCGTACCGATTTTTTCTTTTTGCCGTTATTTCCCTGTTATCATTCCGTGCCATTATCAAACAAAATCATTCGCCCTACAATATCTGTTTTAGTTCTTGATTTCCTGGAGTAAATACCTTTTTTCCCGCTATTTTTCTCTTTCTTCTTTATAGTTCTACCCTTCGCCCTGAATTTCCAGACCAACAGGAGCAGGTTTCTAGTTTTTCCTGTACGGCTTGGAATTACCGAAAATTAGTGGCGCCTAAATTTTCTGAGCATTTCTAGCTATTTCTTCTAGTATCGTCGAACCACCCATACCACCGAGAGCAGCTGGAGCCGTAGTGCTGGATTTCTTTATTTCCTTTCAGTTTTCTTAGTCACATTAATTTTTTGAGGGGTCCCAAATAGTAGAAATACGTTGTCTTCTAACAGTTCTGTTATTAAGATGTTGCAGTTCTCATAGGATAGAAGAGGTAGAATTTTGAAAATTTATCCATAACCGAGAGAAGATAGCAATGACCTGATTTTGACCTAGGTAAGGGTCCAACGATGTCGATGCAATTCCTTCAACCCACAATTGAACTATAAAGTGAAGGCATTTAATAAATTATTCAATGATTACGGTTAGTTCAAAGACCGTGTCCATGAAATTGATCTAGTTAGTCTGAAATTCACAAAAAAAATTATAATTAGGAAAACCTGTAAAGGGAAGTGTTAACTGGAACCACTTCACTATTTTATTTTTTCTTCATTGTCCAAAATTTTCGTTTTGTTCTCGATATGTTTTAGACCCTTCAAAGTATCCTGCAACTATCCTTTAATTTTTCCTTTGAAACTATTTATTTGTACAGGAATCAAATGGCGGACTCAGGCACGG